TACTTTAAGAGGTGTTTGGGAATTTGAAAAAATAAACAGTCATACTCACCTAGGTGGATACAGCATAGGTCTGATGCTACATCTGTCCCCTGCTGCTTTCTAAGACTGCTGACTGCTCAGTTCTCAGTCTTCAGTGAACAGAGAGTCGGTGATTGTCAGTCACCAGCTCTCCATTCTGCCCCTCCAGCGCTCACTGGAGCACTGGGCTATAGAGGGGGTGGGAGCAGCTGGCTCAGGCTCTCAGTGGCTTGCTGAGAGGCTTAGCCAGCTGCCAGTCAGGGATCTGGGTGGATCCCAACTTTAAAGTCGGGATCTCTCCGGAGCCTGGACCGGATGAACGTGAAAATAGGTCACAGGAGTGCAGAATGATGAGTTGCACACATAAACACAATATAACTTACAAAATGCCTGCTAAAGTCCTACTAAGGCCTCATTCATATAGGGTGTACTAAAGTGTACACCCTTGGTAGGGCCATGTTTACCTTATCAGATGTAGCACTATCCCCTGAGGGGCCACTGAGTAATCTTTTGGGTTCCCTGTCTTTCCTGACCCCTCTCTGAAAGCCCAACCCTGCTGACACCACCTTAAATCTTTGGCCAGAAGAATCCTCTGGCTGCAACCATGAAATAGACTCACACACAGTTTAGAGTGCACTAATATTTTTGTTGTATTGTTATCAAATGAAGAGACAGTAAAGTAACAGGAAAATATGTGCAGAAGATAATAGCTGTTACTTGAGTAACTTCAAGTAAAGTTCACAACATTGCACAATCTCAATCAGTTCCAGACGTCCTGCAATTCAGAATTTAAATGATAGCCCCAGTCCTAAGATGTCTCTTCCACAGTTAGTCACAAAAAAAAAAAACAAAACCAAACAGAGAGGCTAACTCACTTTGGGCTCTCAGAAGCTGAGGGCTAAGTCCAATTCTGATGGAAAGAAAAGCTCTTCCTTTAAATAGACTAATGTTCCTTTAACTGCAGTGTCTGATCTTCTGTGCGCTTGATGGGGCCCTAGTTTGTGTACATAAGGATTCAAATCCTCCTTGAGGCAAAAGGGTAGAAGTTCCTTAACATAGGGTGAACACAAAGGGCAGGAGTTGTCCCCTTAGGTGATGTTGCATTTAAATAGTAAACTTTCACACAGGATGAGGTGTAAAATTTGGCAATAAGTAGAAATGGGCAAAACACACTATTGTGGAGTTTGGTTCTTTTGTCACTTGCCAAAGTGACAAAATGCAGCAATGCAGGAGCCCCTTGGCGAATGGGCAGCCTATAAAGGGAGCAATAATACAGCTGGGCCTGCAGATGGCAGATAGTGCAGCAGGCCTCTGTGATTTTATATGCTGGAACTATAATAACTAGTAGGCCGAACAACTTTGGCCTTAACACATGTAACTTGAGAAATGATAATAATAAAGCTGAGAATAACTGAACTTGGTAGTATCATGTGCAACTTAGATGGCTTGAATATGGAATTCTCTAACCCAATCTCAGTCAGGTGGTGAAAAATCTCTCTGTAGATGGGGGCCCCGTCTCCTCATGGTTCCTCTTTCAGAGACCATTCAGAACATCAGCTCACCAGTTTGCCTGCTCGCAGGGCTGTCCGCCAGACTTTTCAGCGGTGTCAATGCTGTCAGCGGTGTCCACAGTCAGTAACTCTCCCTCTCTCCTCCACTCTTTGCGGTCTGGCCCAGCTGGGATCTCCGGTGTCTCCAGCTCTTTCCATCCACTTCCTGTCCTCCCGGGCTTCTGTATTTATCTGCCCCTGTCCATCTGCCAGGCCCTCTCAGAAATGTAGTTTGTTAGCTCCATGTCAGACAGTGAAGTCTTGAAAATCAGCCAACAAATCCCACAAAGCTTTTCAACAGAGTCTGTGTAACTGGACTACAGGACACTGCCATCTTGTATGCATTTAACATCCTGCAAATGGTATTTCTGCCGGGTGTTACACAGGGATGCACAGGTGTTCCTTGAATCCCTGTACAGGCACTCCTACTCACGTCAATTGGTACTCAGAAGCTGCATGGATACAGCTGTTGCTCCCAGTCTGACATGGGTGAGGGTGCAGAGCCCCGAACGCAGACAGTGTGAGCTCAGGACATCCACACTGATGCTAATTGGGACACAGCCACTGGTGTTTTATGCATGCAGTGCCATTTACATCTGTGTGGGTATGGGTGCGCGTCCTGAACTCACACTGTCTGAAAACCAAGGGAGACAAAGGGCAAATGGGAGACAAATGGCAGCAGTGAAGGGGCAGGGGTCACATTTTAGGTGAATAGTTCTGATCAGCATCTTTTCACAAGGATTCAGAAACATATTCAAGAAGCTATAGGCAGTTAAACTATTATAACATAGGTATACTTGCATAATAGTCTCTGCTTCTGGTGTGGGTGAAATATGTGGCTTAGTTCTATTTCTACTTCCTGGAAACTCCCCTTTACATAGTATCACAGTCCTCCAGTTGCGGTTTCTGACCCAGCTAGCAGGGACAGGAAATACCTGTCTATATTCAAATAACTCTGAGGTAATTAACAAGCAACAGCTATTTACAAATGCAAACAGTAGGAGGCAGCAGATCCCTACATAAGTATATGTTCTACTTATGTAGTAACAATTAATACCCATTGCTGCAGTCTGAGGGGATATTATTTCCAGCTTCTGTTTTTGAGTGGTAGAAATGCAAATGGGAAAATGTATAAAAACTGAATCAGAAGCAGCTGTGCATAGTAACCAATCAGCTTCTGTTTTCATCTGGTTCAGTTAAGTTTTAAAAATGAAAGATAGATGCTGATTGGTTGCCATGCACAGCTCCTCCAGATTCTGGCTCCTCCAGTTTTGATAATTCCCTCAAAGTATTCTGTGTGTGTGTGTATACAATATGCTTTTTAACTTCTGTATCCTAGTCTCAAAAATGAACCTTTGTGTAAATAAATGTGAATCATTTTCATGCTTAATTAATGAAGATTAATTTTTTTTTTTTTTTTTTACAGTCTGTTAGCACTGCACAAACTACTTATCTGCAATCCAGTCATTTGATTGAGTAAGCAACATGAATTCTGCACTGCATTACGTCAGTCTGGAATCTTGTCAAATGTATGTCTCAAGGTTGACCTATGATCTGAGATTGTAACAAGATGTTGTGTGGAGCTGGATAGTCTGGACTTCTGGCAGTCTGACAGGTGTGGTGCGAAGGTAATACATAATCCTAATTCCTTTATCAGATATGATGATACTGTAAATATTGAAACATCCGGCTCATTTTATTGTCTAATATCACAGGTTGGCCTCAGAGAAACAGATACTATATCTCCATGCTACAGAGATATGAAAAACGGGCCCCAGATCTTGTCCTGGTGTAACAGGGACAGGAAGTTAGGGAAAATGTATCTAGTGGGGTCATTGACAGAAATGTTAACTCTTTCCCACATTATCCATCTTTAATAATAAAAAAATAACTGACGTTAGAATAATCAATTGCAAAAGAATGTATGTATGCCTGAAAATCTCTGCAACTGACAACAGACTTTCAATGAATGTGAACACTCATGGGGTTTGATTTACTAAATGAGTAACAACTGTTCACTTAAAATGAATGTTTATTGAGCTTGGTAAATAAGATGAAGCTGTGTATACTCCAATCATATGCCGGCAACAATACTGTTTTTTTTTTTTTTATTTCCCTCATACGTGATTGGATATTTAAAGTGAACAAAGCTTCACTTTATTATCATTTGCTTTGCAAAATTAACAGGCTCTACTCTTTAATTAAATCAACCCCATTGTTTTTTGCTTTTTAACTCCAACTTATATTCTTGCTAATCTTAGGCTGGATGTACCAATTGACATATTTTGCATACCTAATTTATTACGGTTGGTGGTGAGCAAATAGGTCAGAAAACAATTAGTTAAGCAAATCCTTTTTTGCCCCGAATGTCCGAATTATACAATTTAAGAATGCTTGCATTCTACAACTGCATGATTATCTGCAAATTACAGTGACCTACATGGAAAAATGTAAGCAATCAAAAATTAAAGAAAAAATGAAGGCCACCATTGCTGACCTTCATCTGAAAAGTCGAGCAGTCTGTGTTCAGTACTTTGATACAGCCACCTGAAACAAGATTTGGAAAGTCAGGGAGAAACCAAAGCACAAATGCTAGTTCTGAATCAGTGGTTTAGAAAGGACTCATGCCATTGGTTCAGCTTTTAACTAGCGAAGCTAGCATTTTTAGCTGGAGTGGTCAGTAGTAGCAGTCTGTATACTCCCTGAGTGCAGGGCTTTTCTTTAATGAATCATTGATTAAATTGTCACTATTAGAATCACTATTAAAACAATTATAATAATTATAGTATATGTAAACCTTCACCTTGTAAAACAACCCATACAGTTTAAAATAGAAATGAAAGGCAAACATTTTGTGCATAGATATGAATAATACATATAAATACCCTTTTCCTCCTTTTGTAAGTGATCACATACCCTCTGTTCTTAGCTGCATGAGGGTGGAGAAACAGCAATACACCGGTCTTCCCAGTGAATGGCTGCGCAGTGGATGCCTGTCAGCAGAAGTCTGATTATTGGAGGAGAGCCGACTGAGTTCCCAGCACAGCTAGAGAACTGATCATACTGTTCTCTCATGCCTATTGTGGTCAGTTTTTGATAGGAAAGCAGAAGGACTGGCAGGAACACTAGGGATTTCACACAATACAAATAAAACAGGATATTTTTTTTACAAATACTTGGTACAGCAGGTACCTATCAAGAATATGAAATGTTGGGTTTACATATTCATTAAATTCTCAGTTGATCATTCTTAGAGAATCGAAATAGTAGTCTTAAATGCAGGGGCAGACTGACCTGACCTGATTTAGGGGGCCCCATGGAAACTCGGGCAAGGACACAGGGGCCCCATGATCCCCTATTGCCCGGGGGCCCCATGAGTTGTCAGTCCGCCCCTGCTTAAATGTATTGTTTGGTGCATGTGCCAGGTAAAACAGATCTGCTCTTGGATGGTATCTTGCTCTTGTGCAATGAAACAAGGCTACTACATTGCCTGTGGACATCAGATAGCCTGTGCCAATGTCTGCAGAAAGAGAGCACGTACTCCTAATCACCATTTAATCACCATGTAAGGATTACAATTGGCTATCATGTTTGGTGGCAACTCTCACCTACAATACATCTATCATGATAAGAAGGAAGACATCATGTAACTTAAATGACTATTCTCTCCAAAGCATAGCAGAAGAAGGTTGCATTGCTGGCGGATAGTCTAAAAATGGTCTAAAGATTAGCATTGTGTTATCACTTATTCAGGTGGAAGGTTGTAGTGAGATATCTGATGGGTACACATACTGAAGTCAGCTGGTTCAGAAGGAACTGGCCAACCTTTGGTGCTTGTGCACTTTTCTGTGTTCAAGAGAAGCTGGTTCAATGACCAGTTTCTGTTGAATGGTCATGCTGGAAAACCAGCATTCAATCAGCGCTTGCATCCAATGGCTGCAGCACTGATTAGTGTATTCTGATGGGAGAGTCCCAACTGTCAGAATACAATAGTGGAGTGGGCTGATCCCTCCATCCACATAACTTGTGCAGATGCAGGGATCTGTTAGATTTTTTTTGTTCAACTTGCTGGTTGAATGAAATAAAAATTGTACATGTATTCAGGTCTTTAGGAGTGCTGGCTTGAAGGATGGGGTTTGTAACAGTTTTGGTTTATAACTTTGACTGTAAAAGTAGCCTGTTACTTTCATATTTAGGCTCTCATAAAAGAGCTACCAACCCTTTCCCCACTTACCCATGGATACCTTCTCCACACTTCTCCACTGCCCAGTTCACCCGTGAAAGCCCCGTGCCTAATCTTTGTATACGTTTCATGCCAGGGTTAGAAAACCTTTTCTCCATCCACATAAGGTAGTGCTTAGGTTTGGCAATTGATTAAGCTAGCCATACACAGCTAGAACTTTGCCCGGTTTTTGCTGTATTTACATAAATTCAATCTGTGGGTGGCCCTGTTGGCTTCAGCTGGCTCAGCAAAATTCAGTTTACAAATTGATGGAGCCACATGGAAAATTCCTGAGTGAACAGTGACTGCAACCTATAAATGCAACCACTGTTTGGATATTCAGGCAGCTGTGAAATACAATAGCCAGCAGAAGAGATTCATTCCACACTGCTTAGCATGAATGTCTAGTCTTAGCTATTGAGGCCCAAACACTGCATCGAGGAAGAGGAAAAGATTGCATGCTCCCCCATATCCAGACATACCAAGCACTTCTCTTCTAAAGATTCTGACAGACAAACAAAAAGATGGTGTGGTGTGTGGCAGAGGTGAGTATTAGATTGATAAGGGATGCTAGTAAAAAAGCACCATCAGTTGTTCCTTTTAAACAAAGTGTTTTTTGGACCATTGTCATTTCAGGACTCAGACCTTATTGACAGGGCTGCTGTTAGAAATCATGGGGCCCCGTACAGCCTACCTGACTTTTTTTTTTTTAATCTTTTAACAACCCTGTTGGGAGTGGGGCTTTGCTGAAATATCAGGGGTCTTAACAGACCATTTTGAGACAAAGAAAGGGCATAAGGACATAGATTCCTCAACCCCTTTCTCTGCAGCCTCAGCTGCACTGCAGATGAATGAACAGGAAATGCTCTGCACAGAAGCTCCCTGATCATTCACAAACTGAAGCATAGTAAACGCAGTTTACTATGCTTCAGTTATAAATTAACTCAGGAGCCGGGGAAAGTGGGCACAGATACTGGAACCAATCCCCATGTGTTTCCCCCTGCAGCAGCTGAAAGCTGGAAGGAGGAAGAGGAGAAGAAGCTGGATGCATTGCAGGGGCTAACAGCAGGATTGGTTTCAGCGATAAATCAATACAGCTGGTTCTTCTGCTCTTCAGGTGCACAGGCACCCCTGTTGAACTGATGGGGCCTGGGCACCATGCAGGTGGACCTGCTGTACTGCCTTATCAGCGGCCCTGCTTATTGACAAGCATAGCAGTTGTATATCCTTTTTGTACTAAAATTGTATATAATAAATCTTGCAAATGGTTACTGTATATATTTGCTTGTTCATTGTTGCTTAACACCTGATGAAAGCGTGCCACATAAAATAGTGTTCCTTCTGTCTGTGAACTTCAGTCATTGCATCTTGGGATTATCTCCTGCTAGAAATTGAAAGTAAGCATCACTATTACTTTTTGTCTTGCTTGCACAATTAAAGCTTAACTAAAGCCATCTTATTTGAATGGAGTGGGCGGGAGGTAAAATTTCTGTAAGGTCTCTATGGCTTTTAGAGACCCTATTAGGAAAAGACCTAATTTCCTCTCCTTGTGAGACCAAGACAAGAAATGGAGGGTGCATTTGTCAGTGGGGCACAAAGTAACAGAGATAAATACTTGGTTGAAACTCTAACTTGTCCTCTCTCATGTATCTTTGACTATGTTGCTATTTGCCATCACTTCATGTCCTAAGAACAAGAATGTCCTAAGAACAAGAGAAATCTCTCTAGTAAGGATAGCAGTAAAAACCTGACAGAGACTCAAACCCTTATATGTTCTGTTCAAAACAGGGGAATATGTTCTGGCTAGTGTTGAGCTTTAACAGATGAAGGACATGTTCTTGACCTCTACACATAGCAACAGAGCAATGTAAATTTTTGTTGTTCAGGACCATGAACAACATGTTGCATGTGATTATTTATTACTGTAAAGATCTGTCATATATCTTTATTTGTATAAGATGACTAAAATTACTTTATTGATTCCATAAAGCTTCTCAATAAAATTACAGATAACAGAACCTTTCTTGTTCTATCGAAAACAAAATAAATGGTTTTGGTTGGAGTTGTGCCTTAAATTGCATTACTGAAATTTTGAACAATCTTTTTTGTTTAATTTTCATAAGGGCATGAAGAGGTTAAATTCTCTTGGCTTGTCTTAATCTTTTCTGTGTCCATAATGGTTGATTTATCATGGGTGATAAGCAGAACTACAGACTTTGTAGAAGACAGGTTTCCTAGCCATGCATGACAAATGCTGACACACATACTATGTTTGCTACTGTCTAGTTGGCAGTGACAGCCACGTCTAATGCTGTGACATGTTCAGTACGGTGTGTGTAGCGAAGGGAGGAGGGGGGGGAGTTCTTCAATAACGCACGTGATGGAAGACAGACACATCATTTAATAATCTTAATGCCACACCATGTGTTCTTCACCTACAGCTTGACACCTACGTTTTGCTAATATAACCTAGTATGCATATTTACATATGTAAGACTATAGTGGTTATTTCAAACGGCTGCGGTGCATATATTTGCTGAATATTTGCAGTGTGGGTGAGATGGGCATCATTTAAACTGGGCCTAAAGTTTAAAAGTTAATATTTGCCAAGTTATAGGGAACATATAGGAATGTTACTTTTGCCTGAACAGTAAAGAGTTACCTTTTTGTTGCAGGAGTGCTTAGGCATTCCTGTACCTAAAGACTTATAGCTGTATATCTGCAGTGTGAGATCTATGGCACTGTTGCCTCTGACTGCCAGTCTCAAGAGAGCTGGAATGAGATTTGGTGACGTGCTGCTGATTTTTCTTGCTGGAGGCTCTGAAATACCTCTTCCAAGAACCTCCCATACCTCCCAACAGGGGCGGACTGACAACTCATGGGCCCCCGGGCAATAGGGGATCATGGGGCCCCTGTGCCCTTGCCCACACTCAAAAATAGCCTATAAAAGGTACCAGGGGCATTTCATGGGGCCCCCTACTGACCCCGGGCCCTTGGGCAATGCCCGAGTTCTTGAATGGTCAGTCCGCCCCTGCCTTCCAACTGTCCTGATTTCTGTGGGGCAGTCCCTGGATATGAACTTACCCCAGGTTTCAGACACCCACATGTCTCAGCACCAACATAGATTCTTATCTGTCATAAAAAAGCTGTCAGCCTTTTTTATAAAACCTTTTCAGTTCTACCTTTAAGTGATAATAAATGTTCAGTGTTAAAAAAAAAAAAAAAAAACCCAAAAAACAAATATGTCATATTTACCTGCTCTGTGCAAAACCATTGATCCTGATCCTCTTCTTTTCAGGTCCCCCCACCAGCACTCCTAGCTCCTCCTCCTTGACCAGTGCCCCCAGTAGCAAGTCGCTTGCTATGGGTGAACTGGTGTGTACTATCTCCCAAGCCCAGCTCTATGTGTCCATAAGACAGATAGCACCTTGTCTCTGGTGGTCTCCAATGGCTCCTGCTGCTGTCAGCCAATAAGGAGAGGGACTCCCGGGACAGCCAAGGCTCTCGTACACACCACTGGATCGAGAGGGGGCTCAGTTGAGTATAAGGGGGGGGGGCTGAGGGGGAAGCAGCACACAGAAGGATTTTTACCTTCATGCATAGATTGCATGAAGGTAAAAACCTTCAGCCTTTATAACCACTTTAAAGTGGTTATACACCCTAGACATGAAATCTGAGCAAAGCATACCCTTCTATAGTGTGTGCTTTACTCAATTCAGAGCACTAAGTGTGATTTATGTCTGCTGCCTTGTTCCTCTGCTATCAGAATGAATGACTTCTGATTAGTTTTTCTGACACCAAGAGAAAAAAGGTGACAGAGGAGGGCACAGCCTACAATTGATAGCTTCAGCTCTCTTGTGTGAAGAGGGGTGTCCCTTCCCTTCAATAAGCTCTCAGAGCTCTCCTCACTGGTGCAACATCAGCTCTCTGCCCCCTTATTTTCAAAGCTGAGAGATCCTGTGTAAATTCTGCACTTTAAATGTATGTAGGTGACAGACTGTTATAGATAAACAGATACAACTTATTTAGGAGGATTGCTTTCATCTCTGTGTATCACCTGAGGCCAGTCACTTCACTAGATATAGCAAACACAAATGCTCCTGCGCTTGGGGATGGACTCGATGCTACAACCACATTAAGAATGTCCTGGAACATGCACACCTTGCTGCCCTCAAATGGACCGGGGGAATCCAAATATACTGAATGGGGAAAGAACAAAAAGAGGGCGCACAGGCCTAGTGCATTACCATAAAAAATGTTTAATAAAAAATAAAGTAGGTGTTGTACTCAC